AAGTGCGCAAAACGCATGAACCTCCTCCGTGCGCTCACAGGCACAGACTGGGGCGACGACCGAAAAACCATTTTGCAACTATACAAGGCCATCATCAGACCCATTTTAGAGTACTGCAGTATAGCTTATCACGGAAGCCTAACAGATCACCAGATAAAACAAATAGAAGCCATCCAGAACACATGTCTGCGCATTGCAACCGGGGCCATACCCAGTACACGAAACGCAACACTTCTGGCCGACGTCAACATGTTGAATTGCCAGGAAAGACGTATGCAACAACTTTGCCGATATGCCATTAACGTTAAAACAACTCCGAACCACCCAGTGCAACACTGCTTCCGGCCGATAAGCAGACTCGGATGTCATAGACATTCCCGATTACGACACCCATCACTAAATGAACAGTTGAGCACCTGCTTATCTAAACTGCAATTTACTTTACCGGATCTGGCACCCAGGCCTCGAGCAAAACCCTTCTGGCTAAAGGCACCACCCAAAATCGAATATCTTTTCTCTGGAAACAAATCAGACATCACACCAACAGAAATGCAGTCGAAATTTAACGAATACAAAGCACAGCGCCCAAACAAAACATTCATGTACACTGACGGCTCAAAACAGGAACACAAAGTAGCTTTTGCACTGACGACTCCACACTTTGAATTAAGCAGACGTTTACCGGATAACTTCTCCATTTTCACAGCTGAGGCCATGGCCCTCTTATTCGCCGTCAAATTATGTACCCATGAAAAGCTTAGTAACGTAGTAATCTGCACAGACTCAAAATCAGTCTTACAAGCCCTGAGTAACACCACAAGCCCAACACATTTCATCATTTCTAGCATTCAAAATTCTGTCCCTGAAAAACGAAATATTAAATTTCTTTGGATTCCTGGACATGCTTCTATCTCTGGAAACGAAAAGGCAGACAAACTAGCAAAGCAAGCATTGCATCTAGCAGAACCACTTGCAATACAGTACCCGGCAGACGACTGCAAGGCCATCCTCGAACTTCACATACAACAACTACGACAAACGACATGGGACGAGATAGGACCAGCACACATGCACTCAATCAAACCCCGATTAGGCTTCTGGGCGACCTCAAAACAAAACACAAGGCAAAAGGAAGTAATGCTCACCAGACTTAGAACCGGACGCACCAGACTCAACGCACCATGGCTAGAACCACAACAATATAACATTTGTGCCTTCTGCAATGTCAACACAGTGCCTACAGTTCAACACATCCTGCTAGAGTGCTCTCACTTCAACCTCCACCGACAACACATCATTGCCTTCTGTCGGCAGGAGAACGTAACGTTGAGCTTAGATCAGCTTTTAGGTGACAGACACCCAGAGCTATTAGCACTTCTCTTCAGATATTTACAAGACACTAAGCTAACAGGAGCACTCTAAAGCACACATAAACGAACAGTTAAGTGCCGTGCCCAACATCTCAACAGTAGACTTAGCGGTAATCACACTCGAGAATTCTCCTGGCTCCGCTGGGCGCTGGTCCAAGCTTGGTGCCAGTTACGCCGGCTGACACCCAGTACACCACTCAACCGTGCGCTGGTCCAAGCTTGGTGCTAGATACGCCGGCTGATACTCACTACACCACTCAGCCGGGCGCTAGTCCAAGCTTGGTGCCAGTTACGCCGGCCGACATTCACCACACCACTCAGCCGTGCGCTGGTCCAAGCTTGGTGCCAGTCGCGCGCAGACAGGAGAGATTCAAAATTAAGAGAGGCCAACTGGTCTTCACCTCTTCAAAGTTGTTAAATGGCCATGCAGTCTTGTCCTTCAGACAATAATTATTTAGGCCCATGCACCACCCGGCATTGTAGGGTGAACGCGACACCCGGCGTGAGAGGGGGTGTGGGGATTGCCTCCTAACCCGCACGATAAAGATCCCATGGTGTAGTTCGTGAAGAGTAGGCCATGTGCCGGCACCATGGCAAAATTAATCCCAAATCGAATTTATTGTCTTGATGGAGGACAAAATGGTATCTTAACAACCCTTTAAAGTAACTATAACGTAAAACTAATTCTAACAGTAGGTAAAGTAAGTCCCAGGATCCCACTCACCTCCCAAGAAACCCACAACGCGTTACCGAGCACTTTAAAGGTCAAAATTTTAGAACTCACACACTTAATTGAAGTAAATGAGCACTTGCAATATCAAAATTCAAGCAATTCGATATTTTTCTAGCAAACAGATTCTTTACAGGCGGCCGAATGTCCAATGGACAGGGACGCCTTAAAACCTCATTTTCACTCACTCACTCAAAACTCACACCATACGGCGACTTACCGCAGGTTTTCGTGGTTTTTCCATTAGCGGTAGGCGGGCTAGCAGGCCTGCGGTGGCCCACATAACTCCTGACGGGCCGGGAGGCGGGGAAGCCTCCCCTCCCCACGGCCATCGAACAACGGAGGGAGTCTGGGCCGAGGAGACGGTCCGACGAACGTAAAGTCGGACAAAAACTGGACACGAATTCCGGCCGCGGTGGGGAGTGAGGTATACGACGTCGCCCCTCCCACTTGATTCATGACTCTATTTTCTTAGCCGCCACGAAGTCTACAGTTTTACTGCGGGCTGGCTCGACGCGGAAAGAAAACAGAAGTAGTTCGACTAAAAGTAATGATAGTTCCTTATAGCTTGTGTTTCAATCAGCTTCAATTTCTTTCTTTTTTGTTATTGTGTGTCAGTAGCTCGGCAGCAAAAGTTAGCATTGCTGATGCCAAATCTGACACCATAGTTACCTGGCTACACACTACCAGTCTGGCGATACTTGATATTTAACACCGGCCGTGTGAGTTGCCAGGGTCACCGGGCTCAGGTGACGGTCCGTCATCCGTCATTTAGAGGCCGTGGCAGCTGACAAAATATTTACCCGACCACTGGCGTATGACGTGGCGCGCGCAGTGGGGTAGGGGGAGGGGCAGCGGCGGAGGAGCACGCACCTTAGAGCAGGCCCTCTGCATTCCACATGAATTCGGGGAGTGATTGTCGTAGAAACGAAGAAAGAAAAGTTGGCACTGGGACAAAGATGTCAAGTGATGAAACGGGAACAAAGCAAGAGTGATAACCTTGCGAGAGATAGAGAGACAGCGCCATCACACCCAGGAAAAGAAAACAACAGAGACTGATATCAATGACAATCTCACTTCAAACCAACATAAATTCGTCAGCAGAGACAAATCAGCGCGCGCCAGGTCGCCCCCGTTCGTCCGGGACCACCCCGGTGCCGGGTCCTTATCATGTTACCGGTGAGTCACAGCCACTAATTGCTGATTGCACGTCACATGTTGACGAGCGCGGCAGACGGCGGCGCGACACCTGCGCCATATGTGTCGCCCTGACACACACACAGCTGGTGGGGGGTACGAATCGGACCACCACGGCGGTAGCTCGGCGGCGTTCGATAGCGCCCGCTATTTCTGGCCACACTCGGGCATGCTGGGACACTCCAGTGGCGTCAAAGGTCACATATGGAAGGAGCACCACCAGTGCTCCAGGCACTGACAGAACCCATGAAGAGCGAAAATACTGGTTAAAGTTCATCTGGAATTCCAAGACCCGAGCACATCGAGACATCAAACGGCGCTCCAGAGGAGCTAAATCCGGACCATCTGGAAATGGCGAGTTCGGATGCTCGTAACCTGAGCGAAGTCGAGCAGGCAGCCCTGTGCAGTCCAGTTCGGCCGAGCCTGTGTTGATTTATCTTGGCCCACAAACCACAACAAACTGAGCACATCTGGTTATCTTTGCTGCTCCCTCCTGCTCCCTTACAGGCTCGACAAAGAAACCAGAGCGCCTCCAGACACCCCGACGCCCTCCCCCTCCCTGGTGTCGGTGTCGACGAGGGGCGCCGGGCGGGCGCGTCGCTCCCGTCGGGCTGCCGTGTCCCTGTCGGACGGACGCCGACCACGCGACACTACCCAGACCAATAGCCCCCAGTCACGCCTCCGGTCTGTTCGAGCGGCGACGGACGGTGACTTTTCCGGTGGAATGTCCAACGGTCGCGCGGCGGCTGCCGGCGGAACCCGTGCGGAACCAGGGCGGAACCGCTGTCTTCCGCCTCCAGCACGGCGCGGAATGACACTGGTGTGCCTCTCTGGTCCCGCCCTGTTCCGAGAGCGGCGTCACGACCGCGTAACGTCCCGTCACGGGTCACAGGTGACTGAACGTGACGCTCGGCTGGCCAGGTCCTCGGGAGGGCGCGGAGGGACCTTGGAGGTAGTCGGCTCGGAACAGCGGCCGAGACGGCCAGACAGAGCGAGTCGTGAGTCAGACCTGCCGCCCGTGATTCGGCCGTGATTCGTGTCATGACTCAGGGAAGTAATTCCATCCGTCTGCGGCCCCTGCTGAGCTCTCGTCATGATGCAACATCCCTAGAAACGCCTCAATGCTGCTTCTGTCCCCCTTCCCATCACCGCTCGTCGTTCACAGTTCTGACTGACTCCACGGCACACGAGAGTCAGTCAGCACCGCTGACCTTCCCGTAAACACCATCCGTGCAATAACGCGTCCGTCCCCGCGACAAACACCGCCCCGGCTCCCCCCCCCCCCCCCCCCACCCCGCTGAACACACAAACATAGCCAGCCGGCGAGCGGGGAGCACACCAAACAACGACGGAGCCGGAGCGACAAAAACCTCTATCAGACCGGATAGCGCCGCCGGGCCGGGCGGGGCGGGGCGGGGCGTGCAGCGGATAGGAGCCGCGGGCGAGTCGGTGCAGCTGTGCACGATTAAAAGAGACAGAGGGAGGGGCAGGGACCGGGAGAACAGAGCCGAAGGTGGCAGTGAGGAAAGGGTGGGGTGTGACCGAAGGACGGCGGCTTTGGACTCGCATTCCTCGGTTCGGTTCACATTCTTCGGTAAAGATCGTGATTCACCTAAGATACGCTAATGGCGTGATAGAACTTAGAAGTTAGCATGCGCGGGTGGTGAAGGGAGTCACATATAGCGTGAGAGGAGGTAACGTACCTGTCCACTGACGTCCACGGCGGCCGCTGCTGCTCCCGCCGCCGCTCCGGCCGGTTCACAGGCTCGCCGTCCGTGCTGCCGTCTCAGCCACTCGCGCACACGCCGTCCCTTGGCCTTCACCTGGCGGTCGAGCTCGAGCGGCGGCAGGCTGCGGCGCAGGTCAGCGCGCACCAGACTCTCGGCCCGCTCCACCAGGCGGTGGATCTCGCTGTCACAGGGCGGCGGGGGCGGCGGCCGGCCGGCCTGGCCCGCGGCCGCCGCCGCGCCCGACCCCGGCTCCACGTCCGTAGCCACGGCAGCGTCCCGCTCGCCCAGCTCCGAGAGGATCTCCACTGCCGTGGCGAATCCGATCTGCTCCAGGTCACTGTCGTCCAGTCCCGAGTTGTTGAGCCAGTCTGAGTCGCTCTCGGGCCAGGCCGGACTGGCGTACTCGAGGTCCGAACTGAGCGGGTCGGGCCGGCGCGCGCGCGGCGCCCGCTCCGACTCAGTGTCGCTGTGTCGGAAGTAGAACGTGGCGCAGTTGTCGGCCGGACGCTGCGGCGAGCTGAACTGATCGCCGTCGGCGTCGGAACCGCCGCCGGCGACGCTGCTGCCGCCTGGCGGTCGCGACGCCGACTCGTCGCCACGGCAACCGTCGTCGGCGTCGTCCGAGACGGCGCCGTCGGCGGTGACGATCTCGAGTCGGACGTTGGAGGTGTTGACGGCGGCGCGGCGGACGCCGCACGAGAGCGGCACGCCGCCGGCGCCCTCGCTCGAGTCGCTCGACTGGCCGGAGTTTTCGGAGGAGTAGCCGCGGTCGAGCACCTCTCGCTCCATGCTTTTGGCCGGTGACGCGGGCCCACTGGCGGGCGCCGCCTGCTCCAGCACCCTCATACCGGACACACTCGGCAGGTAGTCGTCCTGGAACGGAGGCAATAACCCCGTCAGCATCACACTTTTCAACAACACAGCCAGTAGTTTACCAACATACAATCACCACAAGACACTGACACAGACGGACAGCATTTACCACCACAAAACATGACAAAATCGCCGCCTCTGACAGCCACCACAACCCCACGCACCACAATCTCTCATGTCATCATCTGCTGTTTAGAACACGACAGCTGCGCGCCGCTGTTTTTACTCTCCGAATCAAACCCCATTGAGCGCGTGGCTAACCGGATCACCCCACCTCGGCGCTCGGGTTTGTCTCCTGCTGAGCGCGCCCCTGCCGCAAGTGTGAGCGGCAGAGTGTGAGAGAGACAGAGAGAGGGAGGAGGGGACAGGACACGTGGCGGGACAGGTGCACCCGTGATCGGGGACAGCCCGACCCACCGGCGCCGCCCACCGAACCACTGTTGACAACCGGCAAACAGTGGAGGCATGGCGGCGGGATCGCCATAACTTCAGATGCAGCGATATCATAAACATTCGGCCATAGATCCTGCTCGGTACACACTGCACAGATGCACCATTGATAACGAATGGCCATGTGGACCCTGAACACAGATCTGTATGCTCTTCGCAATGTGACCTCCAGCTCGCAAATATGCAACAGATGACTCATTAATCTCCAAACAACCTCGTGCTTGAACATTGCAAACAATACACATATCATACATGATCACAAAAAGGCATACACAAAGAGCTTAAGTGTACCAATGCTGAAATACAGCAATTTCGTTGAATAAGTCGACAGAACTGGCAGAAGCCAGCCTTCTGAATGTAACAGCGGCGCGATATATCTCGCTCATCAGTCACACCAGGGTATCCATCCCAGCACGGACAGGCTGTCAGCTCCCTGGTGCTCAGGCCGGCTTAAACACTCCGCAAAAACAGACACATCCTAATTGGCGTCAAATTGAGACAAAAAGCTGCGTCAGACGGGCTACTGCCGTCTGACACTCGGTGATGGGCCATCCGGAGCATGGGCACAGGCGGAGACAGGCGGGGAAAGGCGGGTAGACGGGAGAAGCGGGAGAGGGGGGAAAGGCGGGTAGGCGTAGACAGGCAGGGTGCAGAAAAAGGCTGTGGTAAGTGGGGGGACAACATGATGTAGACGGCAAACGAAAAAGACAGATAGAGGCGATGTGTGGTAAAAGGCAAGAATAGGTATATATAAATGCAAATGTTCAGGTAGCATCTAAAAGCACTGCCCAGCCACCCGCCTAAGTATGCCCCGGGGCAGGCAGGAGGGTACAAACAAGCTGAATCTGATGCTGACACGGCACTAACATCGGGTAGCCTGTATCACACCATATCCAGCCTCCGGCACTGACATCAGCGCGCGCACAGTCAGCCACACACAGATCCCCGTCCTCTCGACACTTGAGTCCCGCCGGTGACAGCAGGCGGGTTCCAGCCGGCCGTCGGCGACACGCCCAAATAAACGCCCGTCTCCCGTGATGATAGTGCGGATATGACGGGTGAGACGCAGGATGAGCAGAGGATGACTCAGTGGTGGAACGACGCAGGACGGTTATGTCTATGTGCATAGCTGCTATAAACGTCAGAAAGTAAGGCATAGAAGTCAAGCTGTGGTCACAAAAGCCAAGCAGGCCCTCAGGGAAAATCGTAGGTACTGAGCTACGACATGCCATACAAACCTCCTGGTAGAGCAATTTTAGAACACAAAACACACTTACCGTAGCACAACACAACACTTTCCAGCTACTTATTGAGTTGGGTAAATTATGTCAGTCATAAACAAACCGAGTTCAGTGCAGGTCACAGCAGCCATTCCCGTTGAGCCCTGCACTGAATAACTCAGCAAAGGTATGCGACCGAGCTTTGCTGTCGGGCAACGGATCACAAACAAAGCATTTTCAGACGTAACGGCCTTCTGCGATCAATAACGGATCAGTATCGGACTAGACAACCACATCATAGACGTGTCTTGGGAGTCACAGAGGCAACGACCTGCGACGCCGTGATGCTAAAACGATGCCTCGACAATAAATCGGTCGGTATTTAGTAATGGACCTAAATAGCTACCTTGTGATACGCCTGACATAAATGAGGTGAATGATGAATGATGGGACATTCCTAGAGGTTGAAGATAACATGTCAGGAGCCGGTCAAAGTACTACCAGCTGCTGTAGCGGTCTTATACGAGACTACCATAATTCACACCAATCGCCACTTTCGCTGTTTGACCCGCTTTCGATTTAGCATTTGTTTAGCGTCGTCGTGATAAACAAAGGCACTATCATGGCGAAACACGCGCTATCTTTGCCATATGTTCGGTCACAGAGGTAATGTGTCACTGTGTCCCATTGAACTGGGAAGCATTCTGATGCTTCGCTTACTTCCTTTCCTATGTTTCTACGAATGTAAACCACGCTCAAATTCGCTTCTAACTGTAACTATACGATCTGCTCCTTGCGCTCCGCCAGACGCCTGAGAGTCGACTGTGCCTTGTGCGTGAGGAACAGAGCCGGCTTTCACACTGCACGTGCACGGCGACACGCCTCATGGGACGGGGCTGCAGGAGCGTACGTACCTGTGGCAGCACGGCACGACACACGACAGCACAGTCCGACACGACACAGCACACGACACACGCACTGCACGAAACGAAGCCGCACGACCGATGGCACAATGCAGCAATAGCATCGCACGACAATTTGAAAGCTTCAATAGTGATACAAAAATACCCTTTATTCTAGAACGAGATTAATCTTTCACAATTCACAAAAAATCGCAAAAAGTGACATGACGTAAAAATGCCTGTCAGTCGTCAGAGAAAGACACTCTCGAGAAGCAAGGCGATGCAGACCGGACCGAAAACATCTGAAAACCAGCACCACCCCGATTCTTCTCCACTGCTCCCTCAGCAGCACAACATGGTACCGCTCCCATCCCGTTGCAGACTGTAAATATTGGTGACATCAGAACCCTCCCACGCTGCTAATGCCTAACATCTCTCCCCTCGCCACAGGACCGCCTTATCTGGGCGTCTGTGACCTGCACCGAGCCCGGGTTCCGCCGCAGAATATAAACACACCTGCAGAGGCGGGCCTGCGCCGTATTATCGGCACCAGAGGGAAATAGCCGGCGTTTCGCAACATCCCGCTCAATCACCAGCTGCAGAGCGGGCGGCGAGAGAGGCAAACGCGGCGCATTCCGATCGTGAGTCCCCACGCGACCGATACTGAGGTCGCCGAGAGAGGCTTTGTTCATTGTGGACCACACCCATCACAACACGACATTCCATCGCAATAGAACGACATCTCGGTCAGCGCAACATATAGGTATCCCACTGAGACATTAAAAACACCGATTCCATCACATCTCGCGCCAGTTTCGCCGCAATGCCGTCACAGTGCGCCGCAACACGCCGCGCGGCGTTTGAGTAACGCCATGATCGACACTCCGCGGTGACGAGCGAGAGACATAAGTGGCGCAACACGACCGTCAGGAGACGCAGAGTGGCGCCGAGTTTCCCCACATCTCCCAACCGACTGGCCGCCGCCCATCACGACAAAAGATGACGCTGCACCCATTAGTGTTGGCCAATCAACACGACAGAGTACACAGAGAATGGAGGTGGCCCGGCTGTCGGCGTCAACACAGGGGTGGGGACAGCTGGGTGGGCAGCTGTCACGGCAGGGCGGGCTGGGGTTGACGGGAAGGGGTGGACAGGACGGGTTGAGGTGGACACAACAGTGGACAAGAGTGGACAAGGTGGATGGAGTGGACAGCCTGAGGTGGACGGAGTGGAAAGGAGTGATAGTGAGTGGAAGAGTGATAGTGAGTGTCGTATGCAGCGAACCCATGATATGGGAGAGTGAAGCTGACAGCCATTTCGATGTCGAAAGGCCCATTTATGCGGCTTTCACGGGCCGTCCACGCCAGCGACTGTGATAAAGATCTCACAGAAAGTACACATGCACGTTCACATTGTATGGTTCACAATGAACTCATATGCGAGCTCATGAAAGCGTTTCTTGCAATTCAGCGCTCGGTGGGTTACCGCACGCCCCGCATCATCTGTGTCACTCTCGTCAAACTCTCCTCACAAAGTGAAAACGAGGAGACCAGATGTATCGCTAACCAAACAGCCGAGTTGACAACACAATAGGGAACATGTCACATAAAACTTGACCAAATGAGAACTAGAAGAACAGATGCACCCTTAAACAAACAGCCGAATTGACAACTCAAAAGCCAACATGAAAACTCTCACTCTTTGTTGAACTCACCTCGAAGAAGGACCCGGTGTCGGAGTGCACGCTCTGCGCCTCGTCACAGTTTCCCAGTCGTCGGACCTTGCTGAGTGGCTCCCGTTCGTCTTCGTCCGCGGAGTAGCCGTCCTCGACCTTCGGCAGGGTACCCTGAGGGCACAGAGAGGTCATAGGTCAGTATAAGGAACACCATACCCGGGAGGGCAGATACAGGTCCAAGATAGAACAGGAGCTAACCATACTTAGCTGGAATATTGATCCTCGTTAGTCTTTGAAGTTACCCATGGAGCCCTTCTTTACATTCAGCTTTGACAAAGGAGTCGAGAGAAAAGGCCAGCATCATCTATTGTCCCCTCACGTTCCCCTTCACTGCATTGACAACGTCCAGTCAGTTCGGGCCCTACCACATCAATAGATCCAATAAATGCCCTCGAGCGGCGTTCTCTCCAAACACATTACACACCAAACGACCCAAACGGCATACCGAGAGGAGAGGAGACAGCCCCGGACTGGAGCGTCCCCCATACACCCCCCGCGGAGAGACACGACGACCGGAAGCCACTCAGGCAGCGCTCTCCATCCGCCATCCTCGGCAGCCGCAGCCACGGGCTCTGTCCCCTGGGGACCATGATTGCCGCAGCGGGAGGCACCGATTTGTCACCGGTGCCGTGCCACCGTCCCCGGCCCAGTGATGACAACACACGCCCCTGAGAGGGCTGACACAAAAGGGCATCGGCGCTGGCGTGGAACTGGATGGACGGTTGGCTTGGGCATTGTGAGATGGGACGGCTTGGTTTGGTCCAATTTTCATCTGGCATCGTAACTTGTGCTGACACTTATGTGTGTAACTGGAATAAACGGCCTTTGCCGAAAGAAGGACATTCATTGTTCCATTCTCAGATCCAAAGCACAGCACAGCAGCACATCCAGCACTTAAACGCCATAAATTGGGTTCAGCCGTTGGCAGCTGGAAAGGCTTAACAAAAATGCGAACAAAGTTGGTTATGTAAGGTAGAGTTGGTTTTCTCAGTCTCCTGAGACCTTAAACGCCATCAGAAACGGAGCGGCTGACGTGACATCGTCACCGGCGTCACAGCCGGCAGCCCTGCCGGAATGGAGCCGTCACGCGGCGTGACGCTCCGTCACATACTGTGACGGAAGGATAATTACAGCGTGTCGTGCCGGTAGCACGTCCGTCAGGTGACCGGTGACGTCACGGACAGTGTCGTCACAGGTCACCAGACGCTGACAAGTGGACTCCCGCAGAAGGGTGTGGTAAAATCAGGTGAAAAGAAAGTCCTATGCTAATATGAACAAAAGAATGAGCTTGAATTCTTTGGATTCCTGTACAAGACTAGACTCCATAAAGGTAGCGATTACGTCATCTTTTATGGCCAATTTCCACGGAGCGCAGACCGCGCAAGAAAGAGTGAAACATAATTAACCAACATTACGGCTACCTGGAAACTCGGATAAAATGTCATCCTCATTTGGTCCTTCTTTGAAGTGAATCCATAGCTAGCGCGGATTTCTTTGAAGTTACATCAGCGCCCGAAGGTATTTTTAAGTCACATTAGTGGTTTTAGGACACCGTCGATCTGTGTGCACATTTATTCGGCAGTTGGTAGGCAAGCGTTATAAACCTTGGTTTTAAAGGGACCCTCCCACCATTAACATTAGATTTGAGTTGAGATAGCCAAAATGGGTCTGGCTCACAATTATCGGTTTCGGCACTCACAACATCGAGAAATGCCTTAAATCGGAATTATTGAATTTCAAAATTGCAGCATTTTGATTCAGAGGGGCTAATGCTTAGGGATACCCCTCTGAATGTGTGACGTCAGCACAAATATCTAACGATTTTAAATGTTTGACTAAAACGTTTTGTAGCACGCGGTGGTATGCTATTTGCGCGCAACATCTGCCGCAAACGCCGCACTTCTAAAATAAAGTCGCTAGAAACAGCGGAGATCCCAAAAAAGTAAACAAAAGTAAAAGTCTAATATCTTAAAAACCGGTGAATATTTTTCGGTGAAATTTGGTAGATATTCGTTTTCGCTCTTTCTGAACCGAGCGACATTACTTTCATGCCAATTCATAAACTTTTTTGAAGGGGAGGGTCCCTTTAACGGCATAAAACACAATGACCGAATGCATTTCAGTCGCCCAATCCATGCCCATACCATACCATATCTGGTTCAACTATACTGCGGACTACAGCCCCAAAAGCCTCTTCCCTCGAGTCTTTCTTTTCAATCGCATCCACGGCACACCAAATACCGCGGGATGCCAGAACAGCGATACAAATCACCACTGGAATGGTTCAGCCGACCCGACAAGTCGATAAGAGAGTGGCGGTCGATTGAGAGAAAATGGTAATCGATTGAAAGAGAACGGTAGTCGATGGAAGGCGAGGAGGAGTGAGGAAACCGGTGAAAAGGAAAGGGGCGGACCGTCAGACCATTTGTCGGCACACCTGAATGGCCACAACATTCCTGGAGCTGATCCAGATCGATGACGTCATTAGTCCACGTCATTAGGGGGCGTGCCGCGTGTGGCCGGGGGCCATAAACACTCATCTCGCGGTCTATTAGCTCGTCTGGTTGGCCACTGGTGTCCGGAGAGTCTGAACGAGATCTCTGAGGCATTCAGCGGCGACGGGACGGCCGAGGAATTATTCCCACATACACCAAAGCAGGCCCCCGGCCCCGGCCCAGGGCGCGAGAACAGCGTCTATTGGTAGAGACGTGGTCCATTGAGGATTCCATTGTACCGGGCTCACACCATGGCCTTCGGAGCGGCTTTCAGATGGGACGGAGATGACGCCAAAGAAACACGCAGAAAATGCCCGACACGTGCAGTTGTCACGGTCGGTCCTTCCACAATCACGCCCTCCCAAAGTCCACCTGTTTGGGACGGTAGTTCACGTTTCTGCCACTGGTGGCGCTGGTGTCGACGTAAACAAGGGATAATCGGTCACGAATTTAAATTCCGCCTGCTTATTACTAACACGTCGTGGTCCCGCCCACCCCGTGTACAAACGAGCCGATCGGGCCCTGGCACGCACACTAACGCAGGTCGGTACCCGACACCGGCGCAGGACCGTAATTGTTTTATGTAGGTACCCGCGAGCAGTTTCGCCGTCAGCCCTGAATTTTCCAGCATCGAACCGACGCTGCCCTCCCCCAAATTTCCTCTTTGTTAACAATTACATTGTTTAACACGGAGACAACTGAACTGCCCCGATTGCCTCATCTAACGTTTCCGAGAACTACATTACCTTGCAGCGTAACACAACTGCAATAAATGCATCCCAAGCTACAGCCATTTACACCAACACAACTGTTACATGCAAATAATACAGGGCATCCCTCCTCCCTTACCATCTCTGCTCATCGCCTTACACACATCACACCCAATAGATCATCCCGGGGACCAGCCATCGCTCAGTCACTGACCGAGCGGTGCCGCCCCCTGTCGCCAGAGGGCAGTGCCGGAGGGCACACCGAGCGATCACAGGACGGGCCAGGGTGCAGTCGGGTTCCCACGATGGTAGTGCTGGGAGGGAGGGAGGGAGGGAGAGGGAGAGGGAGAGAGAGAGAGAGACAGAGAGAGAGAGAGAGAGAGAGAGAGAGAGAGAGAGAGAGAGAGAGAGAGAGAGAGAGAGAGAGAGAGAGAGAGAGAGAGAGAGAGAGAGAGAGAGAGAGAGAGAGAGAGAGAGAGAGAGAGAGAGAGAGAGAGAGAGAGAGAGAGATCACCTCATTTGCTGCTTTTGTTCTGGAAAGTTTTGCAGTTCGTAAATCAGATTTCAAGACTCCATTGCCAAACTACAGGAAGGTGACCATCCAATCTGCAGAGGGGAAGCAAAGAAATCGTGAAACAAAATGGAAGTCAGACAGTGGCTACACATTCCCTCAGGGACTTCTGACACTTGACAGACGAGAAGCGACCTGCACCGTGTCCAGTGTCCACTGTCCGTGTCCACTGGCTCCGTGCGCATTATTGACTCGCCTTGTGTTCCTCCGTAGACGCCTACCACAAAGTCGAGACAAGGACCTCACGAGGAGGAGGGGGTAGGAGGGAGGGGAGAGAGGGGGTTATGAAGTGACACGCGCCACCCATCACCGGATAAAAACCGTCGCAACTCCCTTCCAACCACATCTGCAGAAGAGCGCTCCATTCACACGACACAGCACAAAAACCGGACGACTCTGGAAAGGGCTGGAATGACTGGAGGGCTGGAATGACTCTGGACTGGGGGACAGGAAGGGCGCGTGCTGTGTGTGGAAGGAGCTGGAGGACTGCGCAATATTACCGTTGTGTTGTCTCGCTCCCGGGCGGAGGTTGGAAGTTTCACCACACCGATGCCTCGCCACTACGCGACTGACGGCGGCGGTGCGGGTCAGGTCAGGAGGAACGGAGTTTCACTGGATCATCCCCATCCGGCCTTGATCCTTTGCTCCAGCCCCGGGAGTGACCAGACGAACAGGAATAACCAGAGCTGTCTCCGCATGGTAGTCTAATGCTACAGCAGGTAAGTACGGTTCCCACCATGTGAATTCGGTGGCTCTTCCCAGCGAGGCATAAAGGGGAGGTAGTTGTCCATAACCCGACCTGTCTCGCATAACACACATTTCTGTCCCACTTTCATTTGTAGCTAGTAAGGCACAGTGCATTGTCAGACATGCAATGCGTCCATAAAGATCGCATTACGAAGTGCATGCAACGCAGCGGAAAATGGACCAACGCTACTCGTGAGAGAGAAAACTCCAAACAAAGTCGGTAAAAAATCTAACCACTGTAAGACATTTTCTTAACGCTGCACACACTCAAAAATCGAATCAACCAGGGCTTTGTTGCATAGCGCAGTACGCAAACCATTCCTCAGCTGCCAGTGAGTCCCATTGGCTTTCTGCAGCCGTCTCACTGCACTGCACGACCCAGATCGGGAACGTATAGCCCGGGTCGGAGAAACTGCGGAAGTCGGCTGGGACCAGAGTCACCCGGAGTCACGACCTCCCTTTGTGACGATATGAAGACGTCATAGGTCCATGATAGACGCTGCTCTTACAATATAGATCCACAAAAGTCCAAGCATGAACATTGAACATCCAGCCATGTCTGGTTAACCTTCCTCCCCAAGGGTCCAC